TCCAGGCCACATCATGAGCTCAAGCTCAGCCTGAAAAATGTAGTGAGTTCCTGTTATAAAAAAACAAAATCAACCAAAAAAAAAAAAACCCCCCAAAAAACCAAACCAGACAACCCAAAATCAACAACAACAAAAGAGCAATATAAATATGTATGTTGACTTTTTAAATTAAAGAATGTATGCACATCACTACAGTGTATATGTACTTAAAAAACTTTTATTGATGGAAATAAGGAAGAACTGAATAAATGTATTAGTCAAGTTTGTGTTGCTTTAACAAAGTACCTGAGGCAGTTAACTTAGGGAGGAAAAAAAAAGTTCATTCTGGGAGGCTGAAGCAGCAGGACACAAGTTTGAGCTTAGCCTGGGTTCCTTAGAGACTTAATAAGACCTGGTCTTAAAAAAAATAAAGACTGAGGATGTATGTCATTGTGAAAGCCCTGGATTCCATGGTATACTATCAAACAAAACAGGGAGATAGTATCCAGTATTGTACTGCAGGAATAGTCAAACAAAAAAGAACAGCAATAACAACAAAACCCAGAAACAACAGTGGGAAGAGAGAGAGGGAGAGAAATAAAGTAAGTTTATGTAGCTCACAGTTTTGTAGTTTTCAGAGTCCAAGGTTGAGTGACCCCAATTGGTTTGGGCTCTGGTGAGGGTGGCAGATGGACAGTGCATCTTGTTGGGGGTCATGTGGAATCAAACAACACATCCTGAACAGAAGCAGAGAGGAATGGGTGGGCAGGCCAGGCCGGCCCCTTTCCTAACAGCATGCTTCTGCCAGCTCAGGGGCACGGGATTGCAGCTGCACTGCCTTATACCCCCAGTGAAGGCCTCCCAGTGGCCTCACTTCACAAAGCTTCTGCCAGCTCCTAATACAACTCAAACCACATTCAAACTACAGTGATGTATATGGATGGGAAGATTTCCTTAATAACGTAGTGAAGCCCCAGTTGGAACCCTCGCAGCACTTTTCTTATAGCTTTATAATTATTAATTCTAAAATTCACCAATATGAATGGAGGCAAATAGCAATCTCAATACCTAAAAAGACTTATTTAATAAAGCAGAGAACTTGCTCCCATTGATTTACAGTTATTACAAAGTCGTGATAATGAAAAAGCTGAGACTGGTGCAGAGGAAGGGCAGTGTGTGTGCAGAGGAAAAGAAAGCCCCAGAAACAGATCTGTCTACTTACGGAAACATGCTTTGTGTTGGGAGTATGATGCAGCATGGCAAAGAATTATAATCACAAAATCAACATGTGTCAGAGATTTAATTATCAATGAGGAAATCATGAGGATGGTGAAACTAGCTCAAAGAGCATTCGAGGAACTGAAGAAAAGATTTGGAAAAGTTTAGTATACGGAAGCTGGGTGTGGTTGGGCAAACCTATAATCCCAGTTTAGGAGGATGAGGCAGGGGGATCCCAAGTTCCAGGGCAGGCTGGGTTACATAGCAAGACTGGTTAAAAAAACAAAACAAAAACACCCCAAAGATTTGTTGTATACAAAACTGGCTATCTCCTGAAAGGCAGTAAAATCATAATTCTTTCAGACAGAATTTATTTGCATATTTACTAGACCAAATATATCTATAGGTTAACATCTAATTTTACACTGTGTAGATCTTAGTACTAAATGGCAAGTCAGAGGTAAATTCATTACCTGTCAGTGCTCCAGGATGACCTTGGGAGGCCATGCTGTCTTTTCTCTCGTTTTTAAGCTAACAAGTAGCTGAAGGATGAATTGATTAGTTATATATGAGGTGGAATTAAATTTAGCTCAGACTGTAAACAGAAACTGTCTCTCTGGGTCTGTCTCTGTCTTTCTCTAATGAAAAGATAGGTTCTTGATGAAATACTAGAATAGACCCTGGATAGTAGTTTAAATGAGTGTATTTGGTCTACATTAAAAAGTACTGTGAGCACTTGCCAAAGTTGAGCACTGGATGGTTGTGTCCTGGCCAGAAAGTGTTTCTTTGTCATTGGGCACTGTGCCACCTCAAGTCCTAGTGTGTCGTCAGGGACAAATGCTGGTATATTATACAAACACTGATAAACCCTTTTTGAAGAGTGAAAGGATGAAAAGGTAAGTGTGGTGAAGGCTGCCCAGCTGAAGAAAAATCCTGGCACCTGGGCCCACATCCACATTCTTTTTCTGACTCTCTAGGGGTGGCTCTGGTGTTTGGGTTACCTTCTGAGAAGGCAATACATGCTGATTACTTTGCCAAGAGGAAGCAGACTGTGGAGGTGGTTAGGGAGGTGTAGTGGTAGGCCTCGCAGGAGGAAACCACTCTGATAGTCTTAAGTCTGGAATTTCGCCCCTGGCCAGAAAGGTACGCAATTTTCCCCCATTGTGATGGCATACTGTGACCAGGCCCTGGAGTGTCCCATAGGAGCGGGGAGGGCAGGACTCAGACACCAACCATTCCTGCTTATGAGTGAAAGAGGTTTTGGAACAAACAGACATGCCCTAATAAAAACAATACTGAAAAAAATAATACTGTTGAACAGGAAAAAACAATTTGTGGCATGATAGCAATTTGTGATATGCTTATTGTGATATCACTGTAAATTTTTAAATATTGTAGAATTTCTGGGGCTTCAGTGTGTACAAAAGCATAAAGGATTAGAAAGAACTAACTTAAACTAGTAACTCAGAAAGATGAATAAAACCTAATACTTAGTTAATCGTTACGTCTTTGTTGTGTGAGGTAAAAATAAGATAATTGCAGACTCTTTTAGAAGATAAACTTAGAGTTGGATGTGATGGTGCACACTTGTGATTCCCACCTTCTGGGAGACTAGAGTAAGAGGACTGAAAATATGAGCTGAGTAATACTTTATTAAAATGAAAAAAAGGTTGAGTAGGTAGCTCTGTGTGAAGGCTAAAGGTTCAGTTCCTTGTGTCTGTCTATTTCTTTGTTTCTGGTTCTCTCTCTCTCACATTCCACGCACAGACACACAAGAATTTAGCCACATTAAAATTTTAATGCCCAGCACTTGGGAGGCTGAGACACTAGGGTCATTGCAAGTTTAAGACCAGTCTGGGCTAAAGAGTGAACTCAAGGCCAGCCTGAACTGCATAGTGAGTACCTGTCTCAAAAAGAAAAAAAAAAAAAACCAACCAACCAAACAAAGCAACAACAACAACAAAAAACAGAAACAACCCCCCCCAAATTGATGAGTTTATTATAGTATTCATAATTCATGAATCAGGCAGACTTATACTGCAAACACTTAGGACTCCTTCTCCACTCAGTGGAGAAACTTCGGTAAGATGTCCACAGAAGCAAGACAGAAACTATTTGATTGATTAAAGTAGCAAGTTGCTATTTAGAGATTATTTAGCAGTTTCAGTTACAGTAAGAGGTTAGTTGGTACTTTCTGATCGGTTAAACTAAAATGTTCTTTCATTGTTGATATTGAATCGGGTATGGTTTGCTTATGTAGGAACCAAGTGCGGGATCCTTCTTAGCCTGATGGGTTTCCAATTAATTATTTTAACACCTTGTAATATTTATTTACCTGGCACAGCTGATTTATGTTTATAGTTGCTGTTCTAAATGTGTGACATATCAAATCATTGAACAAAAGATGTGATCTAAGTGTGCTTTCAAAATCAGAAATGTTAAAAAATTTATGGTTTTGATAAAATATAATTGTAACCATTGGGGAAAATTTTGTCTTTGAAGCTAAGGGTAAATGATGGGGGAAATGCATTTAAACAGTGGGTTTCAGAAACTGTTTCCAGCCCTTGTAAATGAGGCTGTGAGAGAACAGGTGGGCAGGGCATGGTCCAAAAGGGTGGATAGCCTTTTCAGTGCTTCCTTATGAACAGTCCAGAGCTGCTGCTCTGTAGCCTTGTATGAAGGGAAGCTGAGGAAGACTGGCATTGTATTATGATGCAGGACAGGCTTATTTTTGGCAGGGAGTTTACGCAGTCTCACTTACGCAGTTCAGACTGGGTTCGAATTTCTGGTGATCCTCTTGCCTCAGCTTCCTGAGTGGTGGGATTACAGGTATGTGCCAGGCTCAGGGAAGGCCTATTCTTAACTCTTTCTAGGAAATTCCTTTTTGAGAAAATCTGCCTTGGTGTGTTTATGGGGTGTCTGTAGGTCAAAGTGGCCTAAGATTCTGCAAACCAGATTGATCTTCTCCTTCTCTATGTTTCTTTTGTTGTCTGTGAGGTTTATAAAATGGGAAATTCAGTAGTGTATTAAAAAGAAAATACTTTACATATTACATGTTTTTCCTCCAGGAATTTCTGTCTAGGAAATAGTTAGGCAAGTAGGTAAAGGGGCTTATTACAGCAGATTGTGATAGTGAACCTTTGGGTGAAGCAGACTTGCCTGAGATGAGGGATAGGTAATGCATTATGATACTTCTGTTAAGTGGGATATTGTTCAGGTACTATGATAAAGTAACTCTGTGTTTTGAGAAGAGATGATTTAGGACAATTACAGTATGTAGTTGTCCATTTTAATGAAATGCAAATATCTTCAATAAAGTTGTAATAAAAGATACATAGGTTTATTTCAGAAAAATCTAGAAGTATACAAGTTACAGTGTTTGGATGGAAAACTGTGAGATTTCAACTTACATTTTGTGTACAAGAATAAAAACCAAAGTAAGTGTATTACTGCTATATTTGAGGAACGTTACTTGAGTATCAAAACTGATGAGAGACGGAGGTGAGTGTACAAAATAATTGAAGGAAGAAAAGGTGAGGCGTACCTATGTAGTATACTTGTGTCTATGTAGACTTTTCTCACAGGACAAAGAAATAGGCACTGTGATACATACATGTAATTTCAGCATTTGGGAGGGTGAGGCAGGAGGACTGAAAGTTTGAGACCCACCTGGGCAACTTTGTGAATCCCTGTTTCCAAAAAAGTCTTGGATTGAAGCACAGTCTGAAGGCCCTGGGTTCAAATCCCATTACTGCAAAACAACAGACAAATAAAAACCCTCACTTTGCTTTTTTAATTAACAGATCTTCTCAGTCAGATATGGCAACAAGCAACTTCCACTTTTCATCGGGTGATCCAAAACGGGCATCCAGACAGGTCAGAGGATCTGATGTGAACAGGTGAGAAGGGTGTATGGGTATTCTTGGGGAACCTGGAAGAACAGCACAGCCCTTTAGGGAAAGTAGCACTGGTATTCCCACAAACCTGAGTTTAAGAGAATCTGAGGCATACAGCACCCACTTTGCAAATTAGGAAAGGTGGTAAGTAGCTGTTAAGGGATTCTGTTGTTTAAAAGTAAAACTAAATTAAATTCAGTTTTTGGGACACAACTTTCATGTGAATCTTTTTGATTTTTGAGCATTTTAAATTATTTTTTAGTCATAAAATAATATAATCAAATTGCCAAACATTGGAGAAGACAGAGGAAAGAAAAAGTATTGCCAGTTAGTTAGGACCATAATTATGGTTTAGAATTTTGATGTATTTCATTCCAATGTTTTCCATAGGCCTGTGCTTTCTGATATGATTTCAACCGAAATGATATTTTTACTGAATATATTATGTTAAAATTAGATTAGATTTTTATCTTAGATTTTTCATAACCTTGATTTAAAAATGCATTCTATAGAATGTGTTCATTGAGAAAACTCAGGAGCTATAGATAGGATAAAGAAGAGTGAGGGCTGGCTTGTAGTACAGTGAGAGGCCACTTGCCTACCCTGCATGAGGGTTGGGTTCAGTCCCATGCTGTACAGCGCCCCGATAGAGAAGAGAATGTAATACAAACCACAGTTAAAACCGTTTTTTTCCCATCATATGTAGAGATATTATTTTCTTAGTTAGAATTGTATTAAATACACCATTTAGTATCTGTTTTTAAACCTTGATTATCATGACATTTCTCCTTTCCATTAGGTATGTTTTACAATATATTTAATTGTTAATTACTATTCCTTTCTGACTCATTCTAGAATTAATTAAAAAATCCTTGATCATGTAAATTGCTATGAGTTACTAAGGCAACTTTGTTAAAGCTACTTATTGCGATGTGAAAGTGATTTTCATCCCTTTTTACAGGCTTATTAAATTTTTAAAATCATACAGCCGATTCATTCAGCAGTTCAGATTTTATATTTGGAATTTCATTGTACTTGTGAATCTGGCAATGTGTCTTCATATATGGAGGGTGTTGAAGAATACAAATGAAGTTGAAACTAACTAATAAGGATTTTAAGGCTTTCCTTTTCTTTTTTTTAGAAATGGTTTGCTCTGTTCAGACTCGCCATGAACTCACTATGTAGCCCAGACTGGCCACAAACTCATGGTGATCCTCTTGCCTCAGCCTCCTGAGTGCTGGGATTATAGGCGTGCAGCGCCATGACCAGCTAAGGCATTTATTTTCCACATTACTTTTTTATTCCATATATTCTTTATCAGGGAAATCTTTTTTTAAATTTTTTTAAGAAAGAAAATTTCTCTCATTGTTATCCTCTAATTCCCTAGTTTATCCTTTAATTCAATAGCTTGTTAGGTAACTACTGCATCATCATTGATAGTGCTGAGTATAGAAATGGTAATGAATAAAAATTATTGAAAACATTCATAGAAAGCCCTGAACTGGGTTTATAGACTGGGCCTTTTTGGCATGTATGTAGTTGTGGAAGTTGGGAACTTCAGATGCTCTTTCTAAGATAAAGCAAATCAAGAGAAGATAATGAGGGAACCTTTGAGAATATTGACAGTGAAAGATTATGGAAGGAATGAGAGCTCAAGAAAGAGCTACAGAGACACATGAGAGAGGGGAAGACAGACAGTGACAGGGGATTTGTGGGAAGGTGAGTTCTGGAATCTTGTCAGCCCCTCAGGTGCTGCCACAAAACCTGCTGGGATACAGGCCAACAAGGATCCTTTTATGTGTTTGCTTTCTCACTTTCCTTTCTTTTTTTGGGCCTGGGGACTGAACTGAAGGCTGGGCCAGCAGTCTACCACCGAGTTACATCCCTGTCTTTTTTTTTTTTTTGAGATAGAGAAACTCTACCTGAGTTTCCCCAGCCTAGCTTTAAACTTGTAATCCTGCTGCCTCAGTCTTCCAAGTAGCTGTGATTAGAGGCATATCCTACAGCACCTGGCTGCCCTTTGCATTTTTGTACAGTAGTTAGTGTATCAGCAATTGGGAGCTTGGAGAGGATCAAGAAAATTGGAGCAGGAGCTTGTCTGTGGTGGCTAAAGATGGTCAACTCTTTTTTAAGCTGTTGTCTAGGAAGAGAAAGGGAGATAGAAAACATTAGTCTTCTGTTACTATATCAAATATCTGAGATGATCAATTTATAAACAGAACAGGTTTACTTTAGCTCACAGATTTGGAGGTTCCAGTTTATGATCATTTGGCCCTCTTACATTTGGGACTGTAGTGAGGCAGCACATAATGGCAGGAGAGAGTGCAGAGCAAAACCACTTACTTTGTGACCAGGAAGCAATTCAAGCACACTCTCTAGTCACCCACAGACCTCCCACTAGACCTTGCTTTTAGAGAGCCCACCATCTCTCTCTCTTTTTTTTTTTTTTTTTTTTTTTTGATCTTTTTCCTTTTTATCAGTACCGGGGATCAAACTCACGACTGCCTGCTTGCAAGGCAGGCGCTTATGCCACTGACCTAAATCCCCAGCCCTAGTCCACCATCTCTTGATAGTACCTCCTTGAAGACCGAGCTTTTAACACATAGGCCTTTGTCGGGGACATCATAGTTCCAGAAGATAGGAGGAAAGGAAGTTACCTACTGGAATTTGGGTGTTGCCAAACTGATCAGTGGGCTGATTTAGTAATCACCCACTCTAATCCTAGCACTACCCATGAATCAGTCACACACTCTAGATCCAGCTGCCTCCAGGAAAAGCCCTACCTGTGACTGCGTGAGTCATCAGGTACATCTAGATGTAGGCCATAACACTGAATTTGCTTTACATAGAAATGAGTGAGATTTGCATGTGTCTCTGAGCTAAGAAGGGGTCAGAAAGAAATTAAAGACATATATAGGAAAAAATGGTGAAATGTAAGAAATAATTTAGAGATATTTTTGTTATAGTATAATATTTGCAGGTTTTGTAGCCTTTAAAACAGAAAGTGAACAATAAAAATTACTTCTCTGCCTTTTAGCCAGTAGCCCTTCAAATGAACAAGTAAAAACAAGAATTTGCAAATATACTGTGGAACACCCCCCAAAGACTCTAGCAAGTGAAGATGCAGGTACAAGTATGTGAATGGAGCTCTTAGGTACTTAGGATACACAGAAAATAATGGCTTTGTCTAGTATGTCACAGTGGTAACCCTCACTCCACAATACCTACGTGCTGCTTGAACAAAATTGTGAGCTGGCATTGAGGGAGTTTTGATCCTTTAAAAAATGAAACACCTGGATATTAAGTGACATACTCATAATACACCACCAGGTTGTGATAGAATTGTAACCTGATACTCTATCTTTTCATTTCTAGGCTGTGTACCTTTCATGAATGCATTTTCCTCTTTGGTTATAATCTCTCATTTGTTTAATCTTGAGAAGTATTTTGAATGTGGATGTGGTGGCGTTGCCTGTAATCACAGTGATACAGGGGAATGAAACTTCCAACCTACCATATGTCCAGAACAAGTTCTTGTTCTTTAAAATCGAAGAATGAATTTTAGGAACAATGGAGGTTAAGAGCAGAAATATTTATTGAGAGAAAGAAAGCTTCTGTCTGAGAGAGAGACAGAAGGGGTCCTGAGTGGGTTGCCAAAGATTCTGTATTTTCTCAGGATTTTTATAGAGTGAGGCAGGTCTAAAGTTGCAGAAAACTAGGAATTTGCAAGGCACATGGGCATGAGGTGGGACAGAACTAGAGTTAACTAATAAGTATAATTGTTTAGGTAAAATTGTCCAAATCAGGGACAAATGGAGAAGTGAGTCACATAGCAAGCAAGCATTTTTCATGGATCAGTGACTCTTCTTTAGGGGGTTGGAATGGTGACTCTTGGCTTCTCAAAGAGATCCAGACTTAATCCCTAAGGATTATACTTAAGGGTATGGTTGCATTTGCTTTGCCTTCTATTTTGAAATCTGGCCCACCGCAAGAGGTGTGTGTTTCCAAGGTCACGAGACATCTGGTCCTCTGTGCCAGCTCCTTTAAGGGCCTAGCCCTGTCTGACTGCCTGTAATATTTCTAACTAGCTCAACTGCCTGTAACAACAGCACCTTTGGGAGGCTGAGGCAGGAGGATCACAAATTGGAACTCGGTCTGATGACCTAGTCATTTAGCAAGACTCTGACTCAAAATTAAAAAAAAAAAGGCTGGCAGTATAGCTCAGTGTGAAGCCCTGGGTTCAATCCCAGTACAGTAAACGAAACAAAAGTGCTTTTGATGGTCATGCTTCTTTTGATTCTCCTTTTAACCTACAAAGACTAGAAGAATATCTTTACATATAAAAATCTTGATGTCCAAAGAAGTACCTGACCAGCGGAAATGCCTTGTGGCTCTGAAATTCTTTTGAGTTTATTGTGGATATTGTTAAAAGTCACCTTTAAGATATTTATAAGCTTTGTCTTCATGACATCAGCTCTGTGAATGCATTAGCTGGTGAAGCAACTATGTTCAGGTCACTTTGGAAAAAAGAAGGGAAGACTTTTCTTTCTGGCCCAGAGCTTTCCATCCCTGCTTCCTGTTATCTCATCTCTTCATTATAGTTGAGGCTTGTTGCTCCACCTATAAGAAGAAGTGGATTGACAAAAAGATTGCCCATTTAAAATCTGAGATAAAGTGTGTTTTGTCCTTTTTTTTGGTCTTTGTTGTTTTTATCGGTACCAGGGATCGAACTCAAAACTGCCTGCTTGCAAGGCAGGCGCTTATACCGCTGAGCTAAACCCCCAACCCCGTGTTTTGTCTTTTTAAAAAAATGTTTTGAGGACATTACAAAAGCAGACAGCAGGAGTCTTGAGTCTCATAATAAAGGAATAGAGAGAAAACTGTTTGTAGACTTACTCTCTGCACTTTCAGCTTGTCCTCTGTTACAGTGGGCTCATAGGCACAGAACGTTCTACCTTGAGTTACTTAATAAATATTCACTTGGGGAATCCGAGAGTTATGCA